AACTTTACAGCTCCACTATATACAGCCCCGTGGTCTTCCCCATCCATATTTGACGGAGGAATAGACAGAGTCTCCAAAGAAGTCACCAAGGATTCTAGAGAAGTCCTGATGATTAAATCGATGGACACGCTTAGCCAGTGTCATTCGACAGACTTCACAAAGATACTCAGGGAGATCTAAATTCACGGGCCTACAAAGAGCTAGAGACAGGAAGATTGCCAGTTCCAGGGGAAGAGATTCTTTCACGCCCATATGGCAACTATAGAGGAGGGTCAGGAAGAGGCAGGACACCCAGAGGTTCCCGCAACTATAAACGCTGAAAGACAGGTTCGAACGACTGGAGTCTTCCACCCCAGCCGCTCCAGTACAACCGCCACAAGTGGGTGGACGCTTCAACTACACTGGGAAAACTGGGGAATACTTCAAGACACCTATGTCTCCAACATTCTTCAACGCCGGATTTCAGATCCCACTACAGGCCAAGCCTCCACTAACAGTCAACCCTCACAAGTTCGAGGTACAGGCACAACAACTACTAAAGTTAAGAGAGGCTGTTACATTACTCCTAACCAAGCAGGCCATAGAAGTAATAGAGCAAGGAAACATCGAACCAGGTTTCTACTCCCCAGTTTTCCTAGTACCCAAGAAAAACTCCAAGGAGAAATACAGACTCATTTACAACATGAGCTTCTTCAACAAGACTTATTTAAGCAGACCACCCAGGTTCAGTATGATACATCTACCGCAGCTACGGCACATGATTCGCCCCATGGACTACATGGGCAGTATAGATCTACAAGATGCTTATCTGCACATCCCGATACATCCCGAATCCAGGAAATACCTTCGGGTTTACGCTTAGACGGGTTACATTACCAGTGGAAAGTAATTCCCATTCGAATAGCATCAGCCCCATGGTTATTCACGAGGATAACGTAAACCGATTGTCACTCTATCTACATCGCCAAGGGCTACGCGAGTGCTCTCTTCCTCGACGACGTGGATACAAGTAGATCAAGATCCACAGCATCTCAAACTACAGTTAAACTACATCATAAAGCTACTAACACAGCTGGGATGGTTAGTAAACTTACACAAGTCGGACCTAGTACCATCGCAAGATCTGCAATTCCTAGGCATTCGATTTATCACCAATCTCAACCGTGATAGTCGCAGATTCAGAAGACCGCTGGCTCAAGATCCAACAGATCATTCCACCAGCTCTACGCTCGCCGCTACCACTTCGACAATGGCAGAGCTTACTAGGTCTTCTAACATCAGCCCAAGACTTGACAGTCATAGGCAGATTACAGTTACGCCCATTACAGGTCTTCGCCAACACACATCTCGACGACCTACAACCATTCAGTCTACCTAAAACATCTCAGACCTCATCTACTATGGTGGACAAAGAAATCGAATGTCTGCGAAGGGATTTGTTTAGCAGAGCAGGAATTCAAAACCCATCTATATGTAGACGCTACGCTTCCAAGGTTGGGGAGCTCATCTCACCAACCGGACGGCATCAGGGTTATGGACTCAGCTAGAAAGCAAACTCCACATAAACGCATTAGAGATGAAAGCTGTAATCAACGCCATAAGACATTGGAGCAACATTCTACAGAATGCGCACCTGATGATACATACCGACAACTCGACAGTGGCGCTTTTATGTGAACAGACAAGGCTCAACGAGATCGCCTTGGAACCTTTGAATTTAACCTTTCAACTGTTCGAATTAATCCAAGATCTAAATCTACATGTCAAAGCATGCCACATTCCCCGAGCCAGGAATATACTAGCAGACGACTCTCTCGCCACATCTACCATCACGGCAGAATGGATGCTCAATACAGAGATATTTGCACAGATAATCAAGCAAATAGGAGCCTGCTAGTAGATCTATTCGCCACAAGGTTCAACAATCAACTACCACATTCGTGGTCACCAGTGCCAGACCCACAAGCATGGGCAACGGATTTAAGCATATCATGGAAGGCCTCACGCGTACGCTGCGTTCACTTCAGCAGCAATAATACCTCTAGTATTACAGAAAATCAGCCAAACGCAGAGCCTACAACTCACTTTGGTCGCGCTCTACTGGTCGGCCAGAACGGTTTCCCCGCCTCTAATACAAGATATCGGTCAACCGCACTAGAACTACCTAAGCTTAAACCTGTTAATACATCCTCACACCAAACAGGTGCACAGAAACCCAGAAGTATTCAAACTTCACGTGATGGACTGTATTAAAATGTGTTTAAACAAGAGAGGATATTCTACCAGGGCTGCAAAAGCGTCACGCTTTGCCTTACGATACTCAACGCCAGAACTTGTAATGGATGACAAGTGGCAAAGTTTCAAAATTATGCAGCAAACAAGGGTTTTACAGCGCAGAGATGCTACGCGATCCTCAAGTGGCAGACTATTTGTGTTACTTACGCAAAACAAACATTTAAAAGGCTCGACATTGTCAACATATCTTGCCAGCTTTAGTTCTGTGGGGATTTCTATGAGAACGGGTGTTAAATTGACAAGAACACCAGAGTTACTGGCCTTACTAACGCATCTTTCCGATTGAGGACCAAAAGCGGAAGTTCCACTTCCAGCTTGGGATCTGAATGTAGTATTACAACACCTCACAAGTGAGGATTATGAACCATTGAATCGAATAACTTTGAATTTCTCTCACAGAAAACAGTTTTCCTGTTATCGCTAGCCACGCAGCCAGAATATCTGAAATTCATGCTCTAGATTATGAGAGGATACAGTTTGATGACAATCAAAACACAGCATCTGGGATTAAGATGGATTTCATCGCCAAAAATCAACTACCAGGTCAACCAGACAGGTTATTTCACGCCCCTGCGCTTATCCTCGATTCTCGATCTCAAGATACATTGGACTTATCTCTATGCCCAGTACGAGCTCTCATAATCTATTTACGCCGTTCTCAAAAACAAGGCTAAGATCGCCAGAAGATTGTTCATCCCCTATCGCCTACAAATCAGACAGAAGTCTCTCGCACCACCATATCTATATGGATAAGAACTGTCATTTTACGCTACGCCTATAAGGCAGCAGGACTGGACCCTCCAACAGCATCAAATCCCCATGAAATCAGGGCATTGGCCTCCACCCTCGCCCTTCACGGTAACTGTTCATTGAATACAATTATGGAAGGATGCTTTGGAAATCTAACATGGTGTTTGCTAATCACTATCTCAGAGATATCACCACCGAGGACGCCTCTGGTATTCACCATTTCGTCCTTTGGTCCCTCGCCAGCAATTGATAGTCCCTCGAGAGGCTTAATATTCACCCCCACTTAGATTATTATATATATTATGCATATATTCATTAGCTTATAACTCCATGGAGTTCTAGGGCTATGTACATAATTAGCTTAGGTTATTCAACCTTAAGCTCATACTGAGTTTATATTCAGTGTACAGCTACTTTTAGAGTAGCAGTTTATATATATATTGATATATCAGTATATTAGTAATGTAATACCCCACTTATAGTGTATATATCTGATGGCTTATTATAAAGGAAATATCCTAAGTCTCAATGCCTTATGAAGTTCCCCAAGAGGGGTTATTACAATATCACTTATTTAAATCACTAATTATAATCCAAAGTATTCTGTTTTACCCACCACCTCTCCGGTGGATTCTACAAGCAAAAGAGCATGAGTCAGGATAAGGAAAAATATGTAATTTTTTGAGTAAAATTGATATTTTATACTTATCCTGACTCATGAGGTTAGCCCTCCCATCCTCCCCACATAACACTTTGGATTTCCCTGTAAATTCAAGTGTTGGGCTCGCAAAATCAGGAGAGAGTGAAGCATGAGGCCAGAGGGTGGCGACACCTGTTCCCAGCCACGGCAGGGGAGGTAACTCTTGGGTGAGTACCAATTAGTGATTTTACATTGAAGGGAGCTTCAATTAAGGAGATACAAGTGTTCCACTATGTTCGCAAGAGGAAGGGGACAAGCAAAAGAGCATGAGTCAGGATAAGTATAAAATATCAATTTTACTCAGAAAATTACATATTTTACTTTTGTTTCTCTAAATATCATATGTATTGTAGCAACAAACTGGCTTGCTTATTTTACCCCATTCAACAATCCGCGAACTGATTACTGCTCGTTTTCCATTGACTGCTAGTTTACAGTAACATCGGTAAAAATGTGTGAATTTAAATGGCTTCCAGATTTTACCCCATTCCATGTGCTTACTACATTCATGAGGGTCCATTATAACCTTAGTGTTGATTATATAGATTTTACATAAAACTGTAACTAAAATTACACAATGCTAGGATATATTTCTTTGGGTTAAATAATAGTATTCTGTATTATATTTTACTGGCGACTGCGTCAGAATTCATCCGCTATATTATTGTGCATGTTTGAACTTGTTGGCGGGAAGCGTGTGCACAGCTGGATTGCTATTTCCAGCTCAAATACACGCGGTAATCTTAATCCCTGCAAATAATACAATGCCCAGCAAAACAACTTATAACTTAAAAGGTAAATAATCCTGTCTAGTGATGTTTAATTGCAAATTTGAGCGTCTCTACTGACAAAGTCGCCTTCTGTTGTTTGTTCACTTGAGAAGTGATCATGGTGTTGTTTTCTTACCCCTGGAAAAAGTTTGATCTAAAGCGTAACCGATGGATAAGACGACCCCCTTCTACAGACTGCTTTTTGGTCCTCAAAATTGGCTTATAGGCGGTCATATCACGGTAAAATATGTGTTTCCAGTGTTAGGAGACTGGCAAGAAACAAGGTAGGCCTGGTTAAGACAAAATCTACTGTTTGATGATAACATTTTTTTTGTTGCGGCCATTATGTTATTTCTGTCATTCATTTGATATTGTTACAAACAAAATTTGACCCTTAAATTTTTACCAGATTGACAACATTATGTGTTGCTTTGGCCAAATATTGTGACAATATGCAATGGTGATCTGACATGTACTTCTTCCAGGAATGCACCAACATCTTCTCAAAGGGTGGCGGAGAATCGTTAGCTAAACAGAGTGGAGTACCTTTCTTAGGTGAGATAACAGAAATTGTTTTTTGTTTTATGCCTGTTGGGCGGTGGGGTAGCCTAATGGTTAAAGCGTTGGCTATTCGTCACACCGAAGACCGGGTTCGATTTCCCCACATGGGTACTATGTGTGAAGCCCATTTCTGGTGTCCCCGCCCGTGATGTTGCTGGAATATTGCTAAAGCGCAGCGTAAACTCAGTCAGTCAGTTTTATGCCTGTAAACATGTTGTTTAAGTGTTGATCACATTGTCAAGGCCTGTTTGATTGGCATTTTAGAAGTTGAATAATAATAAGAAAGGTATGACACTTTATGGATGACAACTTCTATATTATGGTTTTGATGCGGTGTTTCAGTATAGATTCTTATACCGTTGTCAAGCAAGAGTTTTCACTCTTGTGCATCAAAATGTAAGAAAGAAGTTGTCATCCATTATTTATCGTACCTTTCTTACAGTCAGACCTGTTTACACTTGTTGACATATGTTTATGTTAGACACCCAACATACCTAGGTGACCCTTAATGACACTAATTATATAGTGATGGGTTACAGGTTCAATTCCCCTGGACCCTCAGCTCACGGCTAGCCTGGACCAGGGCAAGAATATTGCAGAGGCATACAAGGACTCACCAGCTCTTGCGGCTATTCAGGGAGTGGTGAAGAAACTGATGAAGGTGGATGAATATCTGCCATGACAACAACACCAGCCAATCAGGGACCTCCAATATATTCCATGCAGAGCTAGCATTCACTGTGGAGCATGGGAAGTGAATATAGTGCTGTCCAAATGTTAACAGTACATTCCTGTGTTGATGTACGCGTGGCAGATCATGCAGCTCTCGTCACACCTTGTGATGATGTGAACATGTAGTTTCTTTCCTCATTATATGGTGCTCACATCGTTGTTTCTAGAAAAGCAGGAAGTGAATAGCATCACCATGGCAACTGTAGGATCACGTGAATGGTGTCAGCATCGTGATAACTGAATAGTGTCCATGTGTTAACCATAATATAAACTGATCCATTGGACCAATGATAATCTAAATAAGAATTGTATAAACATTTGAAGGTATGCTGAAAATTATTGTTAAATGGAATCGATCACAGAAATAGTGCACATGAACAGAATCTTTAACTGCATCTTTTGTCCATAATCATGAATTTGAAAAGAAATAAGCTTGGCGAATTTGATGCCATATTAATTATATATTGTGATCAATATATATATCAGAACTTTCCACCCCCTCATTCTGCTGTCTCAGAAGCATGAGACATTGTCCCTTTGTATTATGGCATCACATTCCAGTGTGACAAGGCATTCCAGGTTGACATCAAGTCTGTGAGATTTGTAGGGAGTAAGCTGTGGAAATATAATTTACTGTACAATGTTGATGAAAGTGTTTAAGATTTGTGGATGTTATTTTGTTTTCCACAACTGTTTGATTGGCATTCCAGAAGTTGGTGAATAAAAAGACAACATACAGATTTTTTGGCCCGACAAATTCTGGTTTATTGCACAATGTCATTTTTCAATTTTGATTCAACACTCACTGTCACTCCAGCTCGATACCTCTGTTAAAATCTACATTGAAATGTCCCTATGGGTAATAAACCAGAAGTTGTCATCCATATGTGGTCAACATATGTTTTATTAGTCACTTTATATATCACCTTGGAATAAAAGAAATTAAATTAAAATTTGACACATGATTACTGAGATTCTAATTGTTGAAACCTTCTGTTGGTTTAAGCATACAATCACAAAAGAAATGTTTCCCTATGATTGTAATCATAAAACAAATTCCCAAAAGCAATAGTTGTTTGTTAGTTTTGTTTGGAAAGTTTTTTGTTTTTGTTATTTTTGACTATTTTATCTACAAAAGTGTTTGGATTGGCATCATTACACGAGCACGTTTCCACACAACTAGTGAGGAGTATAATTTCTGAAGCTTAGTAGAAGCGATTCTCTGCCCAGCATAAACTGAATCTATATTTGCAGAAACTAAACAATGAATAGTTAGTACTGACTGCAACCTACAAGGTAATCTAGCTCCCATTTGAAGCATTACAGCCAAGAATGATAGGCTTAAAGTGTAATCGTCAAAGATATGTCAATTCTACCCATGAGCCTAGAACGATTCTATGCTTTTTGTGATTATCAGTGGGTGATTGTTCACTGCATCATTGTTCATAAAGTGTCATCTGAGCCTTCTTACACTGTATGACTTTATCGGTAAAGCGTGTAAAGCACCATTGAGCAGCTGCATATAGCTGGAAATAGGGGCTATACAAAGCAATTATTATTATTATTATTATTATTACATAGTCACTGCTCATGGTTTGAAATCATAATTTGTATATGAAAAATACAGTACCAATCACTGAATAGGTTGTTAAAGATAAACTTGTTATGTCTTTAAGTTCTACCAACATCAATATGTCTATTAAAGGCTTGATACTGGCTAATAGCTTGATATTTTTCATAATGTGAGTGGGTCAGCTGATGTGAAATTATTTAGCAAAATATTGAAAATACACTGGGTTGTTACTGAAATCTGGTTGAGATTGACAGTGCAAGGATCACAATGCTGAACAATACCAGTATCAGTGTGTTGGTAGATACATGAAATAGTGTCAGTAATGTTTGGTGGAGTTGATATCACTGAAATACACAAGTATCAATGTCTCTCAATAGTTGCATGTTATAGTATCAGGACATGTGGTGGTATTGATATCACTGAAATATACAAGTATTGATGTCTGTCAATAGAAACATGTTATAGTATCAGGAATGGTCATGTCAATATAATGATTACACAATGCCATTTAGAAAGTGGTCAAATGTAACATATGTTATATTTGGGATAACACTTTCTTAGTAAAATATAGATTCTAGTACTTTTTGAGTTGAGCCCCATCTGGGATTCGAACTCACACCCTCAGAGTCAGGCACCTAATCGCCAGCACACAAAGTCAGTTGATATCACTGAAGTCTACAAGTATCAGTATGTGCCTGTAGCTGTTCCTCAAGCATTCACATGATAGTATTCTACTCAACTTTTCTAGGGATAATCAGATATGTCATTTATTCAATAAACACTTGGCATCATGCGATTCATTTGTATGAATCATGGCAACAAAAGTGGAGGAATGGGAGGCTTGGTGTGACTTTTACAGTGGCTAGCCACTTGGGGGAATCTACTGCTGACTGTAAAACCCTTCATGCCACTTACTAGATCTATTAATGTCCCTCTTTTTTGGCTACTGGTGATGTCACCCTGTCCGTTGCTATGGCAACATGTTGGTGCTACCTTTTAATATGTGCTTAGAATTAGCATAGATTGAAATTTTGAATGTAGTTGGTATTTGTAAGTGTTTTAAACCGATGTTGTTTTATTTCTTTTGAATTACTCTTGTTGAGTTTGAATTACAGAGTCAAAGGTTTGTTTACTAACGCAGATTAACTGCAGTCATATGAAAACATTGAGTGTTCTTTAACTACATTTGAGTAGTATATGTTACACATAGGTTGTAAGAAAATTCCTTTGGAAACATCTTTTAAATCATGATTGAGATGAATTTAAATAAAAATTGACCACAGAATTGTTTTGTTGGCTTCAAACATTTAGAGCAGGTTTGTAAAACAAGTATTTTTGGTGGGCCTTGATAGTGTTAATCTTGTTTAAACCATGGATGACAGGGTAGAGCCTTGTATAGGACATGTTGGATCCATGGCATCCCATGCTTGCTGTAAACTTGGTATACAAAGTAGGAGTTAGTGGTTGGAGTAGACAGTTATCACAAAGTCAAGTATCTATGGCTGGCTTAGAAGCATTATAAATACTCATGGGTTTTCATGCATTACATTCAACTGCCACTACATTCTTGCTATTTTCAAACTCAAACTGTTTGTAAAATACAATTTCTTAACTGAACAGAACACATTTTTTTATTTACTTTCAAAACAGGTAATGCAGATCACAGCATGTCTGAAATATATATGTCTAGTATGCATTAATCAGTTTATGTTCGACATGATATTGTTCATACATTAGGAATGCTTAAATGTTTACCAAACAAGTTCATGCTTATTATTATTAGTATATTCATGAAAACTCTAACTTTGAGCACATCTGTAGTCCAAGATGGATTTTTTACTGCATGTTTATGGTCTGTTTCATCACATCTAAAATCAGCCAAGGTAAAAAAGATTACTTATGTTCAGATGTTTCTGAAAATCGTAAAAGTTAGTCTTTGCGACACTTTAGGGTCTCAAGTATAACCATAACATGGATGAATAACGACAAAGTCAGGTTCTCATGTCTCATAAACATACCTGATAATTTTTATGACAATTTCAAACAGTTCTGCTAATTTCTTAAAGTATGCACATCCCTTTGCCGTTTGGCCCATATGTCATGACTGTTCTGATATAATAAATTATTGAAACTTGGTTTGTGTCCCCAAAAGAACTGATCCGGAAGATGAGGTTTCTGGATGACTTGGGTCCAAAAGGTAATGCTTCTGTTCTACTGGGGTCAGGAAGGTGATGTTTCTTGATTAATTAAGTACCAAAGTCGATCATTCTGGATGACTGGGCCCCAGAAGGTGATGTTCTTAGACTACTTGGGTCCAGAAGGTGATGATTCTTGATTACCAGGTTTCAGAAGGCGTATGAAGCTCCAGAAAGTCATGTTTCTGAGTCTCTGGGTTACTGGGGTCATGACCAAGTGGTTTCTCTGTATATTCCAGTTTTGTTTGAATTGTCCCCTGTATATTTTTGTCAATATATTATCTAAAGTGGCACATGGAGTTATTACTTTAAAGAGGTTAACATGGATCTTCCAACTAGTCCAACTATTTTTTACAGAATTATATTTCTATTAATAATTTGTGTAGAAAAACCTTACTTTACCAAATATAATTAATTTGTTTCAGAACCATTTGTTTGACCATGCGAACCTTTCATGCCAACCATTCGTCCATCCTGCTCTGTACAATCATGTATATGTGTTTGTTATGAACATATGTGATAATGTAAAATAAAAATAAAATATTGCATGAATTACATCAGAAGTCGTTGTTTTGTCATTTTGCATCAATATGGCACTGTAGTATTTTGAGGGTCAGTGAAGGGAGAATCAAACTGCCACTTATCATCGTCTCTGCAGATACCTCCAACTTGTTGGTCATGCCTTGACCTCTACCTGTACCATGAATGTTACTGCTCTTATTACATGGGAGGAGGAAGTAATTATGCAGGGCCACCTGACGTCGGGAAGGTTCATATAGAAACTGTTGTATTGGTGAAGACATGATCAGTTCTACAGTCGTCCACCGCCTTTCTTCACAGTGTCCCTTCGTAGCACTCCACAGGTCTTACAGCAGTATTATCACATATTGTTACACATGGTAATAGGCTTTGTATTCATACTCCAGGAATTAATCCCACCAGCCAAACATGCGCATGTTTAACAAATTCACAACGCTCTCTCTTGTCCAAAGCAGACAGACAATACTCACTTGCACTTGCGTTTTTCATATACACTATTCTACCTACCGTTCCCTACAACCAAGTCATAATCTCGTTTCCGACTCTGCAAGCACATTCACATGACAAAACGAACGCAGATACAAACTCCATTCATCACCTCAAATACTACAGTCATCCAACCTCTTTGTTCACAGTGTCACTTCGTAGCACTTCGGCCTTTCTCAGATTGGACATGCACTAAACTGTGTTTCCTATCAAAGAATACATGATGCAGCTTACCCGCCTTGACCACCCGTCCTTATCTAATCAGTGCTTGTCTTTGCAGTATCCAAATCAGTGCTCCCGAGTACATCCTATGCCCGCCGTGTACCGTTTTGACAAGCTGATTGTCTCTGACGTCAGCTGATTGTTGACGTAATCCTTCTGTGATGTCAAGAGTTTGGGGACACAATAAGTCGTGATGTAGCTCCTTTGTTTACGTCAGCAATTTTCTGCTTTCCGGCCGAATCGGTTGTTTTCAGAGAGTTTCCCAACCCTTCCATACCTTTTCTTACCGACGCTCATTACTATTTTGGCCAGTAAGTCATACCTCGTCTCCTTTCAGACTTGCGCCCGGCTTCCCTTCAGTGTTTTGTACAGCAGCAATGAAAGTACAGGAAATACACAATTCCTACCAATCTTCCAGTAATACAGATGAAGCTTGGGGAAAAGCACGCTCTTATGAATATGACATCTACACGGAAACAATACATGCCAGATACGACTTTTAGAGACTTCCAAGGGACTATACTCTCAACGCGTACCAAAACAAATATGCATAGCCCAATAGTTTCCTTGAATATACGTACTTCTAGGTCTATCAGATTCATTTTCAAACAGTAGGATACATGAAGAAATGTACACTGTCATCCATATGCATATCCATGGAGGGTTGAGGAGGTGACAATGCTCGGCGACGTTGTTAAAGAAATTCCCTGATTGCGACATATATGCTTAGAGAAGGATGTGGGCAGACTTTTGGGTTTACTTGTGTGTGTCTCTGGTATGCAAATTTAACAATTTACAATCACACAATCCACAGGTCTTACAGCGGTATTATCACATATTGGTACACATAGCAATAGGCTTTGTATTGACAGTCCAGGAATTAATCCCACCAGCCAAACATGCGCATGTTTAACAAATTCACAACGCTCTCTCTTGTCCAAAGCAGACAGACAATACTCACTTGCACTTGCGTTTTTCATATACACTATTCTACCTACCGTTCCCTACAACCAAGTCATAATCTCGTTTCCGACTCTGCAAGCACATTCACATGACAAAACGAACGCAGATACAAACTCCATTCATCACCTCAAATACTACAGTCATCCAACCTCTTTGTTCACAGTGTCACTTCGTAGCACTTCGGCCTTTCTCAGATTGGACATGCACTAAACTGTGTTTCCTATGAAAGAATACATGATGCAGCTTACCCGCCTTGACCACCCGTCCTTATCTAATCAGTGCTTGTCTTTGCAGTATCCAAATCAGTGCTCCCGGAGTACATCCCACGCCCGCCGTGTACCGTTTTGACAAGCTGATTGTCTCTGACGTCAGCTGATTGTTGACGTAATCCTTCTGTGATGTCAAGAGTTTGGGGGACACAATAAGTCGTGATGTAGCTCCTTTGTTTACGTCAGCAATTCTGCTTTTCGGCCGAATCGGTTGTTTTCAGAGAGTTTCCCAACCCTTCCATACCTTTTCTTAGCGACGCTCATTACTATTCTGGCAAGTAAGTCATACCTCGTCTCCTTTCAGACTTGCGCCCGGCTTCCCTTCTGTGGTTTTGTACAGCGGCAATGAAAGTACAGGAAATACACAATTCCTACCAATCTCCCAGTAATACAGATGAAGCTTGGGGAAAATGACGCTCTTATGAATATGACATCTACACGGAAACAATAGATGTCAGATACGACTTTTAGAGACTGCCAAGGGACTATACTCTCAACGCGTACCAAAACAAATATGCATAGCCCAATAGTTTCCTTGAATCTACTTACTTCTGGGTCTATCAGATTCATTTTCAAACAGTAGGATCCATGAAGAAATGTACATCCATATGCATATCCATGGAGGGTTGAGGAGGTGACAATGCTCGGCGACGTTGTTAAAGAAATTCCCTGATTGCGACACCTATGTGTAGAGAAGGATGTTGGCAGACTTTTGGGTTTACTTGTGTGTGTCTCTGGTATGCAAATTTAACAATTTACAATCACACAATCCACAGGTCTTACAGCGGTATTATCACATATTGGTACACATAGCAACAGGCTTTGTATTGACAGTCCAGGAATTAATCCCACCAGCCAAACATGCGCATGTTTAACAAATTCACAACGCTCTCTCTTTTCCAAAGCAGACAGACAATACTCACTTGCACTTGCGTTTTTCATATACACTATTCTACCTACAGTTCCCTACAACCAAGTCATAAACTCGTTTCCGACTCTGCAAGCACATTCATATGACAAAACGAACGCAGATACAAACTCCATTCATCACCTCAAATACTACAGTCATCTAACCTCTTTGTTCACAGTGTCACTTCGTAGCACCTCGGCCTTTCTCAGATTGGACATGCACTAAACTGTGTTTCCTATGAAAGAATACATGATGCAGCTTACCCGCCTTGACCACCCGTCCTTATCTAATCAGTGCTTGTCTTTGCAGTATCCAAATCAGTGCTCCCGGAGTACATCCCACGCCCGCCGTGTACCGTTTTGACAAGCTGATTGTCTCTGACGTCAGCTGATTGTTGACGTAATCCTTCTGTGATGTCAAGAGTTTGGGGGACACAATAAGTCGTGATGTAGCTCCTTTGTTTACGTCAGCAATTTCTGTTTTTCGGCCAAATCGGTTGTTTTCAGAGAATCTCCCAACCCTTCCATACCTTTTCTTAGCGACGCTCGGTACTATTCTGGCCAGTAAGTCATACCTCGCCTCTTTTCAGGCTTGCGCCCGGCTTCCCTTCAGTGGTTTGTACAGCGGCAATGAAAGTACAGGAAATACACAATTCCTACCAATCTCCCAGTAATACAGATGAAGCTTGGGGAAAATGACGCTCTTCTGAATATGACATCTACACGGAAATAATACATGTCAGATACGACTTTTAGAGACTTCCAAGGGACTATACTCTCAACGCGTACCAAAACAAATATGCATAGCCCAATAGTTTCCTTGAATCTACTTACTGCTGGGTCTATCAGATTCATTTTCAAATAGTAGGATACATGAAGAAATGTACACTGTCATCCATATGCATATCCATGGAGGGTTGAGGAGGTGACAATGCTCGGCGACGTTGTTAAAGAAATTCCCTGATTGCGACACCTATGTGTAGAGAAGGATGTTGGCAGACTTTTGGGTTTACTTGTGTGTGTCTCTGGTATGCAAATTTAACAATTTACAATCACACAATCCACAGGTCTTACAGCGGTATTATCACATATTGGTACACATAGCAATAGGCTTTGTATTGACAGTCCAGGAAGTAATCCCACCAGCCAAACATGCGCATGTTTAACAAATTCACAAAGCTCTCTCTTGTCCAAAGCAGACAGACAATACTCACTTGCACTTGCGTTTTTCATATACACTATTCTACCTACAGTTCCCTACAACCAAGTCATAATCTCGTTTCCGACTCTGCAAGCACATTCACATGACAAAACGAACGCAGATACAAACTCCATTCATCACCTCAAATACTACAGTCATCCAACCTCTTTGTTCACAGTGTCACTTCGTAGCACTTCGGCCTTTCTCAGATTGGACATGCACTAAACTGTGTTTCCTATGAAAGAATACATGATGCAGCTTACCCGCCTTGACCACCCGTCCTTATCTAATCAGTGCTTGTCTTTGCAGTATCCAAATCAGTGCTCCCGGAGTACATCCCACGCCCGCCGTGTACCGTTTTGACAAGCTGATTGTCTCTGACGTCAGCTGATTGTTGACATAATCCTTCTGTGATGTCAAGAGTTTGGGGGACACAATAAGTCGTGATGTAGCTCCTTTGTTTACGTCAGCAATTTTCTGTTTTCCGGCCGAATCGGTTGTTTTCAGAGAGTTTCCCAACCCTTCCATACCTTTTCTTAGCGACGCTCATTACTATTCTTGCAAGTAAGTCATACCTCGTCTCCTTTCAGACTTGCGCCCGGCTTCCCTTCTGTGGTTTGTACAGCGGCAATGAAAGTACAGGAAAGACACAATTCCTACCAATCTCCCCGTAATACAGATGAAGCTTGGGGAAAATGACGCTCTTATGAATATGACATCTACACGGAAATAATACATGCCAGATACGACTTTTAGAGACTGCCAAGGGACTATACTCTCAACGCGTACCAAAACAAATATGCATAGCCCAATAGTTTCCTTGAATCTACTTACTGCTGGGTCTATCAGATTCATTTTCAAATAGTAGGATACATGAAGAAATGTACACTGTCATCCATATGCATATCCATGGAGGGTTGAGGAGGTGACAATGCTCGGCGACGTTGTTAAAGAAATTCCCTGATTG